CCTGGATGGAAGAAAAGACTAAGGATGACTCCATCCTGACTCATGAGGGAATAAAGGGGAGGAAAGGACAACACAATCTAACTTTCAAGATCTGTCACCATAGCCTATCTCAATAAAGTATGTTCTAGTCTTCCTGTAGAGTTGATTTCTGAATCTGGCCTTTTTCATAGGCTTGACATAAATATCCTTTCCTGAAATGGGAGATTGGAAACTGGATCAAAACCAGCTAGGTCTGTTGAATCCAGGAATGTTTCTTTGAAGAATAGCAAGTAGCCACTTCCTTCAAAACATGGGATACTCTCTCTCCCACAAAGAAGCATTCATCACTGAATGAATCCAACCATGTGATACCTTCTAGGAGGTCTTAATCAACCAGAAGCAGCATGGACCTCAAATACAGGTGGTTGAACTAATAGATCTTAGAACTCTCATTAGGACCACAGGCTCAAACTCTTCCTAGATAACCAGGCAACAATGTGTCTCATGCAATTCCAAATGACCTATATTACCACATTCCAACCCTGAGAAAATCTGAATGATTTTATCCAAGAGGTGTGTAGAATTGTCTTCCCTACAGCCTGTTAACTATTCCCTGGACCCTCATGATGAGAGACTGCATTACCCTAAACAGGTAAACATAGGCATTATGCAGTTGTGATAAAGATGGAAGAATAGCTATTTTGCCAACTAAACATTTTCACAAGAGAATCTTTAAAGCAGGCTCTTACCCCTGCTGGGTTACTCTTCATTTTATTCTTTATTTTCCTTGGGGGTAGGATTTATGCAAAAGAAAAGCTTTAATTCACAACGGATGGATAAGACAGGGCATTTGTTACTTCTAAGTAGCAACTGATTTCAAAGTTTTGAATCTGTCATATCACATCTATAACTCTTGAATGTCAGGTAAAGCTACATCAGTATCTTCTTGACAAATATCTTTTGCTTATATTGCTTTCTCTGGCTTCTGTGTGTAAATAACTGATTGGGTTTTGGTAGTAAATCAGAATGTTCAGATTTATTTTTTCCATTAAAATCCATAATCTTGTCTTTCTTTACAAAAAGACCCGAGACTTCCACATGGTTAACATCAACAGTTTATTTACAATAACAATGTAAACTGCTTACCGATGTTACTCAGCCTTTTTAGTGAAACTCTTCTGCCTTCTTCCTGGATTCTTCCTTGCCATGTTATATACTACTAGCTTTTGGCCGTCACTGAATAGGATCATGTCTTATTGTACTTCTCTTCCTTTGAGCCATAAATTATATACAATTAATAAATATACAATTTAAAAATAAAAACCATTGAAGTTTTCAGTTTCCTAATTCTGTGGTGAAAAATAAACTCTTTCTTCCTTCCTTCCTTCCTTCCTTCCTTCCTTCCTTCCTTCCTTCCTT